CATGGAATTGACTTTGTGTATGGGGGAAGGCAGTTGTCTCAGCACCATTTATGGTGAAGACTGACCTTGTTCCATTAATCTGCTGTGCTGCTCCCACCATGTATTTCTACCCACATAGTAATAGGTAGGTTTCAGGGCTCTCTACTCTGTTTTATTGATCTACTTACCCATTTGTGCCCTAAACCACATCTGCTTCATTTTTTTTTTTTAGCTTTAAAATTAGCCTTGATTTCTGGTAGACCAAAATCTCGAGCCTATTCTTGAACATTTTAGGTTCTTAAAATTTCCATAAAAATCTTAGCATCATCTTGTTGAATCCCACAAAATCTGTGTTAGAATTTTGTTTGGAATTACAAAAATCTCTACATGAATTTGGGGAAATTTTTCATTTTTGCAATATTGAGTCTTTGAATCTATGCTGATATTTATATTTTTGAAGCAGGTAAACCTAGGAAATTCTGCTCTACAGAGCCCTTTGTACCTGGAACAGACATGGCTCACCCACATGAGATTTTTAATTTAGAAGTTAACAACTTGTGGAAGGTGGCCCCATGTGGGGAACATTTTTCCGGTGAGGACTGTGGCAGAATCCTTCAGCTTTGGAGGGCAGCCACAGGTCGAGTTCCAGAGCAGCATCTGCATCATTGATGGAGTAGTGGATGAATTCCTTTCTTTTTCAGGGCAGTTATGCTGCCTGGACTTAACCATTGTTCCTAGAAGCTTAGCATCAGTGTGAGCTGCCCAGTCTCTGGAGTCAGTTCTGTTTTTTGCAACTAACAACTCTGATCCTGTTGTAAATGGAATATTTTTTTAAAATGTCATTTTCTGGATTTTTGTTTTGTTTTGTAATCATATAGAAATGGAATTCACTATTATATATTCACTAGAGCCTGCAGGATGGGGCTGAAATTAGCTCTCCGACAACCCCCGAGGAGGTCCCGGATTGCGAGCGGGCACAAGCCAGGTTGAGGGACCCCACCGGTGCAGATCGGGGCTGGGGAGAGATGTGGGAGGTTGGCCAACCAGGGAGGGATGGAGGGAGGGCTGTGGGGCATGTCCGGCCCATCTCGCTCAGTCCCTATTGGCCAGACCCCAGCAGCAAGCTAACCTATGGGTCGGAGCGTCTACCCCCTGGTGGTCAGTGCACATCATAGCAACTTGTCAACCAGTCAACTGTCTGCCCCCTGGTGGTCAGTGCACGTCATAGCAAGTGGTTCAGAGGCCTTAGCATATCATTAGCATTTATGCTTTGATTGGTTGAATGGCGACAGGATGACCAGCCACTTAGCATATTAGGTTTTTATTATATAGGATTGTATTAAAATTTGTTGCCCTGATTTTTAATATATTTATCCTTATATTATAAATTTTTGACTTAAACATTTTTAGATCTTATTGGATGAAAAAGATTTTAGAATTGTTATTTTTCCTGGTAAATTAATAGTTTATTACTAAAATATGCTATTTCTATCACTAATAAGGCTTTTTACTATAAGGCTATTTTAGCTAATATTAATATAGATATATTAGCTTTCTTTTGGTTAATATTTGCATTGTGTACCTTTCTTTTTATTTTCAAACTTTCTCTATCTTCATATAAGCAAGATTAATCTTCTAATTTCTCAGTTTTAATTTTTAGTGAGATATTTAATACATTTACATTTAATATAATTACTAATATATTTGGATTTAAATTAAACAGTGTATTTTTTACTTTCTATTTGTTCCACCTTTTCTATATTTCCTTTTGCTTCTTTCTTGTCTTCTTTTGGATTGATTCTTTTTGTTGTAGTTTCATTTTATTCTATTAGTTTGGGAGTTTCCATTCTTTTAGTGGTCACCCTAGAAATTAAAACATGCATATGCAATGAACCTTTAGAGTTAATCAAAGCGGTTACCCTCCTTTCAGATCAGATCACACGGAACATTGGAGCACGTTACTTCATTTACAGCACTAATACTTCACACATTATTATGTTTTTTTCATTCTATTTTTAAAATCCCACAAATCATTAATGTTTTATGCAGCCCATGTCCATTTCAAATTGCCCACATATCTACTATTTCTTAGCTCTTTCTTTAATCTTGTACCTCAGACTTTCATCTGTTATGATTTTCTGTCTACTTAGAGCACTTCTTTAAAATTTCATTCTAATCAGAACTAATTTTGGCGAGCTCTCTCTGTGTTGGTTTGCCTGAAAAATATCAATTTATTCTCATTTTTAAATTTTTTTAAATGAGAATGCTACAGGTTTTAGTATAAAAGTTGCCATTTATTTTCTCTCAGCATATTGGCGATATCACTTCCCTGTCTCCCAGCTTCTTGAGCGTTCAGGTGGAGTTCTACCTATTGCTCCTTTGAAGGTAAACTACCTTTTTTTTCTACTTTTAGGACTTATTCTTGTAGGCAAAAACTGTATGTAGTTTCACTAGGGAGAGTTTGATTGGGATTTCTTTTTGTTTATTCTACCTCAGAATCACAATTCCAAATCTGTGAACTGGTGTTTTTCATCAGCTTTGAAAAAATTCTCAACCATTGCCTAAACAAATATTGCCTCTGCCCCATCCACTCTACTCCCTTCTGGCACCCTGATTAAGTGTTTTAGAACTTCTTGCTCTATCCTTCGTGTCTCTTAATCTTGCTTCCATGTCTTCTATTATTTTATCCCTATGTTTCATTCTATATAACTTTTTCTGGCCTACCTTCCAACTATATCCTTTACCTATCTAACTGGCTCTTAAGCCTCTCAGGTTGTGAATATTGAAAACTACTTTTTCCATGTTCTATTTGATTCTTTTTGTAATTTTCTAGATAATGTTTTATAATTTTCCTCTTTCCTGAGGTTACTTTCAGTTTGTTTTTATTTATTTGAACAAAGTGAGCCTCTTTTTTAAAAATTTGATCATTTTAATATCTGAAGTCCTTGCGATTCTCTGCTCTTGTTTTTTGCTGGCTCTCGCTAATAGTGCTTTGTTTCCCTGTGTACTTAGTAAAATTTATTTTATTGTCTGTTGATCACTGTTTTTGAAATATTACTGTGGTGTTCTTTTAGGTCTAGGATAAAAGATCCTTTCTCTGGAAAGAATTTGGGTTTTCTTGCGTAAGTCATCAGAGGAAGCATTTCTAGGATAGTACCACCAGGTGATGTGCTATGAATTTGGACTGTAAACCCATTAGAGATAGGGGTTTTGATTTCAGTTTCACAAGGACGAGTTTTGTTGATTTTTTGGTTTGTTTGTTTTGAATTCCTTCATGGCTCTACTCAATGAAGTTAACTTCCTTTGAAGTTCTCTGGGCTGCAAGTGAGTTTCCTTCTGATTCAGCCTTGCTCTAATGTGTAGCCCTTTTCGGATCCCAGCTTAACATGACAGGGGTCTCCTTTGACAGTCATGAACTTCGACCTCTATTCCCAGCACCACAAGAGCATCAAAACCAAGTTCAAATTCTTCTGCTCTCTATTCCTGCTTAAGCCCTCTGAGTTCACACACCCCTTTATAATTTAATTCGGTAACTTCTTATAATCTTAATACATTAATCACAATATACTAATATATGTATAATACCTTCTAAATTAGTGACTTCTCACAACAAAGATATATTCTTGATAATATACATCTCCATGTCAACTTGGCAGGTGGTATGCTTCACATTTGTCTCACTCAGGGATCCATGCAGTTGACAGAAGCAGGGTCATCTGGAAGTGGGAAGGGATATGGTGAATCATACATGGACCTTAATTAGCTCTGCTCCTATTTTATTGTCCAAAGCAAGTCACATGGCTGCACTAACTTCAAGATGGTTGGGAAGTACAATGCTACCATTTGCTCAGAAGGAGGAGAACTTGAAATATTGGTAAACATTCCTAATGACTAGCATTCTTACCAACTCTTCCATGTTTTTAAGGTGATACTTCTTAAATATAATATTTGCAGAATTTGTAGTCGTTTTTGTAGGAAAGTTGGCCAAAAGAATCCTTTGTTCATATTATGTTCCCTTTTTTAATGCCTGGTAATATCCAACAAGTCTTGGCTACATACCTGTCTCTGGATTAAATCTCTCTCCCACCAATAGTCTCAGGGTGTTGAAAAGCAAGTTGATAGTTCTCTAAGATACTCAGGGTTATTTCATTTACTTTCACAGGACTGTAAACTTTAACCATACATTTTTTATAACAGCAAAACTTGTTTAACATTTATTTTAGGAAATTTTATTTGATCACTTAGACTGTTAAGTATACTTGTTAGAGGAAATTGATTTTGCCTTAAATGCACTCACCAAGACTATCAGATTCTAGTGAAGTTTCTGTTCTCTGCATCCTGCTTGAAATAAATAGCACCTCTAGCAGATTTCAAGTGCAATATGAAGATTTTTTTTTTCTCCAAGAAGGTCAAGAATGTTTGACCACATAGGAGATATAGAGTGAACAAGACAGGTAAGACTCCTGATCTTCTAGAGCTGACATTTTCAAGCAAAGGTCAGAAAACTGCAGGCTACAGGCCAAATCTATTTTCTCTGCCTTTGTCAGCTGCCTGAATGTCCATGTCCACAGTGACCTCGGAAGCCACATGTGAAAATGGCATGTCTCAGCCTGGGTCCTTGAGTGACAGACAGGAGACAGAGACACCCCCACTATGAATTAAAAGCAAAGTTCAATTGAATTCATGTATTCACGTTTCAATAGAATAAATGTTGGGATCCAGCCCCAGCAGGTCCAGGGGTTCCCAAAGGTGTAGACGGAGTGGGCAAAGAAGGAAGGACATGGAAGTGTTCAGTAGTTGATCAGCAGCCTAGTCAGGACCTCTAGCCAGTTTATTGTCCTGTTACAACTGTATTTATACCATTTGATCCTATAAGCATGCCTCTATTGTTACATCATGGTATGTTTTGGGTCCTCCTTTGCTCCTTTGACCTACAGTTCCTTGTTTTTAGTTTTGTTTTTTTTTTAGACTTATAAAGAAAGTTTATTAGTGAAAGGGGCTGTGGGATGGTGGGCTGGATGCTACCTCAACTGCCCCACCTTGTCGTCCTGCTGCATCTGGGCGATCAGCTGCTGCCGCTTAGCTGCTTGGCGCATGCGCATCATGACGAGGCTTTCATAGTCCCTCTCGGACACCACCGAGCCCTGTGACGGTCCTGGGTGGCTGGGGCCGTCCTTGCCCTGGGGCCGTCCCTCCAACCAGGAAATCTTCAGAGGATTATCAACCAGGCCCACTTCATTCTGGACAGCCAGCTCCGCAGCCTTGATGGTCGCAAACTCCACCACGGCGATGCCTGCCTTCTTGCTGGAAAGTACCAGGTTGAGCACTTCTCCGTACTTTTGAAGAAGCTGCAGGAGGATATCTCTGGAGTAGCCGCCTTTTGACCAATCCTTTCTGCACTTCCATTTTAGCTTTAGCTTGGGAGTTCCTTTCCCTTCAGGATGTTCTGCCTTTCCTCTCAACCTCTGCTCCCATTCCTGGCGTATCTGCTCCTGCATCAGCCTCTGCTGTTTTTCCAGCTGCCCGGAACACTCTTCTCGCAGGCGCTCGATCTCCTGCTCTAGTGTCCTGGTGCTCCGGCTCTCCTCCTCCTCCTGGGCCTGAGCCTGCCGCTCCTGGGCCTCCAGGTCAAGCTTCACTTTCTTCCTTCTCTCATCTAGTTTCTGGGTCCTCTCTGCTGCCTGCTTCTTGGCTTTCCTCACCTTGTCATACGTGGCCCTGGCTGCAGCATCAGTCAGTACCTCCAAGGCCCGAGAAAGCTGGTGGAAGAGTTCAGCTGCTCTGGGATTATCCGGATTTTTGTCTGGATGGCAGGAGAGGGCCTTCTGCCTAAATGCCTTCTTCACCTCTTTGACCGCCGCCTTCTCCTCAAGGCCTAGCAGCACGTACAGGTCCATCTGTAAGAGCTCCTTGGCCACCGACATGGTTACAACCCTGACTGGATTCGGGCACCAGTTGTTGGGGTGCAACCCCAGCAGGTCCAGGGGTTCCCAAAGGTGTGGACGGAGTCAGCGAAGAAGAAATGACACGGAGACAGCGTTCAGTTGATCAGCAGCCTAGCCAGGTTCTTCAGCCAGGTTCTGTCTTTATTCTCCTGTTACATCTGTATTTATACCAGTTGATTTTAATCCTATCCATTCTATTCCAAAGGTTAGGGCGTTTGTTATCTCCATTCCAAGGTCACTATTCTATTGTTCTGTTAAGCTACAAGGAAGTAACTGAAGGAGATTATCCTAAGTAAAGATTATGTAGCTTAAGCGTGATTGTTCGTAGATAAGGTGATTAACTACCCACCTGGCACTTAGTTAAGGGGTTTTACTGATTTATTCCCTTCCTTAGTCCTGTTAATCCCTAACTCCAGGGAAAAATCCCCACCTGGGGAAACAACCTTTCTTGGAGAGGTGACCTTGGTTAAAACACATAGTGCTAAGAAGGGGAGCAAACATATTAAGAACAGTATGCCATATACGCCAGGCCCTTGAAACATATGCTGTGCAAATGTTTCTTCCCTGCAGCGACTGTGTCAAGCAGCAAGGATGGACCGGCTTCCAGCAAATAAACACACATTCACATATACACACAACCACACAGGGTTCTGGATGGTGGGCGATATGAGGATACACTGTGTGGAAGAGGTGCAGAGGAGGAGGAGCAGCAGTAATGAAGGTTTGGGGAGAGAATAATGAACATGTATGAGACACTGGAGCCAGTAGAGAGCTGGAATGGATCTGTCCGGAGCTCAGATGAGAGTTCCTGGCTGGAGAGACTAGATCTGGAGTTGTCATCATTTTAAAGGAATTGAAGACATTGGCAACTGGGAAGGTGTATATCTCTGTCGAATGTTTCTTTTCTCTCTGGACACAGAACTGATGTGCAGAGCCCCAGGGTGGTATCCCAGGTCTTTAATTGTGAAAGAGATATCTGTTCTGAAAAATGCTTTTGTTGTCCTATGAACTGTATTGGAAGGTACACATCTCCTTTGGAAATGGGGAGTGACTCCTCCCTTTCATTACCAGAGCCTGAGCAAACAGGTGGCACAGTGGCCTATGACTCCAATTCAGACCTAGTGAATGCTAAGGAGAACAGCTGCTTTGAAACACTAGAAGTGCGTAAACCAGCAGCTAGCAATACAGTGGGGCCTTGACTTACGAGTTTAATTCGTTCCAAGACCGAGCTCCTTAAGGAGCTTGTTAAGGAGCTCGTTAACTCAAATTACTCTATCAACTCAATGCAAAAAATCGGCCGAGAGACAGCTGGTATCTCAAAAAACTCGTTAGTCGGGACACTCGTAAGTCAAGGCCCCACTGTATAGCAAAGGTGGAGATTTATTGAAGAACAAGCACAGACTCCCACATGGGGAGGGGAAAAGGGTCCCCAAACCATTTTTTTCTGATTAATACATGGTTAATCTGCACATGGATTTATACCATATTATTAATACATAAGTATTTCAGGATAAATTGCCATATATAAAATATAACACTGTATTTTTTAAGAGTATAAAATTCTCACAAAGTCATACACAAAAGTTCTCACCACTGACCTTGAATGATTCTAGCCCAGGGGTGGGCAAACTTTTTGACTCGAGGGCCACAATGGGTTCTTAAACTGGACCGGAGGGCTGGAACAAAAGCATGGATGGAGTGTTTGTGTGAACTAATATAAATTCAAAGTAAACATCATTACATAAAAGGGTACGGTCTTTTTTTTTTTTAGTTTTATTCATTTCAAACGGGCTGGATCCGGCCCGCGGGCCGTAGTTTGCCCACGGCTGTTCTAGCCATTGCTGGCAATACAAAAATGCAGCTCCCTATTCCTATACCACTAAAAAATAAAATTTTTCAGAGGAAGAAAGAGTATACCTAAAACAAAACAAAGCAAAGCATTCCATCAGCATACATATCCCAAATGTTAGACACAGTCTTGGAAGGAAAGGACTTGGATCTATAGATCCTGACATAGTGATCCATCAGCTCTCAAGATTATTGTGCGAAGGGTTAAAATAACTTTCAAGAGACTCATTGCTGCCACAGTGAATGGTCCCCCATGTCCCGTGTGGTTCAGGGTTCAGGATCTGGAAGAGGGGCCGCACGCAAATGAAAGAGATGAGACAAGAAATAATTTGGAAATTGGGGGGCCAGGCGAGAGCCCATCCCAAGAGGATGGACTCCACTTGTGCTCAGGCCTTGCCATCCTTTTATTCAGTTTGGGATACACGTATAGCCCTTAGGCAGGCAATTTCCAGTAACAGACAATCTTATCAGTAAGGATTTACATGACTATCTGGTCGGGAAGTTGCTTCAGCTACCATTGTCTGGACTAAACAGTGGGTGCATAGCCCTGACCTTTGCCAGGGCTTCAAGAGTCACCGGCAATCCGGGCTCCTTGTGCACACCTCTCTGCTAGAGAAGACAATAGGTAGTTTCCCACAGCCACTTTAAGTACAATTATTGTCAACTTCTGGGGGCAAAAGAGTAGTAATTTTTATTAATATGTTTTATCAACAGTATGTAGGGGTACCTTGTCAGTATATGAACATTTGATTAAGAAAATG